GCTATCACAGGGTATTCGCGAAGGCCCGGAAGATGTCCTGATATGATCTTGCCCATAACTCAATGAAATATGATTGGTCAAGACAAATGTCAATCTCAAAATCACCCAAACATTGACTTGAATTGCACATGTTCGTTCAAGCCATCGAAGGCCCTGCGAGTGTTTCTTTAGTTCAGCGCCTGCAGGGGGAGTCACTAATTTACCCAGATACCACTGGAAGAAAAACTGTAATTGGTCCATTTCCATTTCATTAAATTAACTCGTTGTTTCCGAAGAAATATCAGTCCAAGTTTATAACAATGACCTAGAAATTATTACTAGTGTAGTGTTTATTACTTTGGTATTTATGGTAATGTAGCAAAAAAGTTAACATAGTAAATAATCTTCAGCTTATAGTTAAGATGACATTGACTAAAAAAAAGCATACAGTCACAGGGATGAAATATATCTGAGCGCCACCTACTGGGGTCATTTTCCCTCTACATCTTACATCATCTAACAAGTGTTGTGGAGTTGTTAACCTTGAGGTGCCACGCCCCTCCTCCTGCATCTTCATCACTTGAGGAAGACATCATCTTAAAAACCTTTTTGAACTCTTGCCAGGTCCTTAAAGTACACAAGCAGCAGAGGTACTTCCACTGAGTCTATTTTAAGAATGGCCAAAGTCAGAAACACCAGGATTCATTCTATGGCAGGTGGGGCCTTTTTACAGATTACACTCTAAAGATTATAACCCATGTCGACCACTTTTGAAGATATTATGGCACTTTTTTCCCATTCATTTGTTTATATTAATTGAACATATATTTTTAAATTACATCATCCTAAAATCTAAAAAAATTTTATTAACTTTCTGGGGGTAGCAAGTCAAGTCAAACTGTTTATATTGTATTTTAATAGTATCACCTACTGTTCCTAATCTGTTCTTCTTTTGGCAATTTTAGTGCAAACTCGCAGATTTGCAGCTTTCTGATCAAAAACATCTAAATCCGGATGTGTGTCGCCTCCAGTCACCTTTGTAATTTCCAACAGTTCCCCTTTAGTTCTCCAGACCCTGGCCCTCCTCCCCCCTCACTCCTCCCTCACTCTTCCCTTTGGTCCTCCATGACTCCCCCTCACTCTCCTCTTTAGTTCTCCAGAACCGGCCCCTCCTCCCCCCTCATTCTCCCCTTTTGTCCTCCTCACTGTCCCCTTTAGTCCCCCAGACCCTGTCCCTCCTCCTCCCTCACTCCTCCCCTTTAGTCCTCCCTTACTCTAGCCTTCTCCTCCTCACTCCTCCCCTTTAGTCCTCCCTCACTCTAGCTCTCCTCTTTAGTCCTCCCTCACTTTCACTCTCCACTTTAGTCCTCACTCTCCTCTTTAGGCCTCCCTCACTCTCACTCTCCCATTTAGTCCTCTAGTTCCCGCCCCTCCTTTCTCCTCACCCTTCCTTTTAGTCCACCCTCACTCGCACTCTCCACTTTAGTCTCCCCTCACTCGCACTCTCCTCTTTAGTCCTCCCTAACTCTCACTCTCTCCTTTTGTCCTCTCTCACTTTCACCCTCCCCTTTAGTCCCCCCTCACTCTCACTCTCCTCTTTAGTCCTCCCTAACTCTCACTCTCTCCTTTAGTCCTCTCTCACTTTCACCCTCCCCTTTAGTCTCCCCTCACTCGCACTCTCCTCTTTAGTCCTCCCTAACTCTCACTCTCCCCTTTAGTCCCCCCTCACTCTCACTCTCCTCTTTAGTCCTCCCTAACTCTCACTCTCTCCTTTAGTCCTCTCTCACTTTCACTCTCCCCTTTTAGTCCTCCCTCACTTTCCCGTTTAGTCCTCCCTCACTCTCCCCTTTACTTCTCCATCACTCTCACTCTCCCCTTTAGTTCTCGCTCACTCTCCTATTTAGTCCTCCCTCACTCTCACCCTCCCCTTTAGTCCTCCAGGCCCTCTCCTCCCCCCTCACTCTCCCTTTTAGTCCTTCCTCACTCTCACTCTCCCCTTGGCCCTCCCTCACTCTCCCTTTTAGTCTTCTCTCACTCTCCCCTTTACTCCTCCAGACCCCATCCCTCCTTACTCTCCCCTTTAGTCCTGCCTCACTCTCCCATTTAGTTCTCCCTCACTCTCACTTTCCCCTTTAGTCCTCACTCTCACTCTCCCATTTAGTCCTCCCTCACTCTCCGTTTTAGTCTTCCCTCACTCTCCCTTTAGTCCTCACTCTCCCCTTTAGTCCTCACTCTCCTCTTTAGTCCTCCCTCACTCTCACTCTCCTCTTTAGTCTTCCCTCACACTTCCCTTTAGTTCTTCATCACTCTCACTCTCCTATTTAGTCCTCTCTCACTCTTCCTTTTAGTCCTCCTCACTCTCACTCTCCCCTTTAGTCCTCACTCTCCTCTTTAGTCCTCCCTCACTCTCCGTTTTAGTCTTCCCTCACTCTCCCCTTTAGTCCTCACTCTCACTCTCCCCTTTAGTCCTCACTCTCCTCTTTAGTCCTCCCTCACTCTCACTCTCCTCTTTAGTCTTCCCTCACACTTCCCTTTAGTTCTTCATCACTCTCACTCTCCTATTTAGTCCTCTCTCACTCTTCCTTTTAGTCCTCCCTCACTCTCACTCTCCTCTTTAGTCCTCTCTCACTCTCCTCTTTAGTCATCCCTCACTCTCCCCTTTAGTCCTCTCTTACTCTTACTTTTAGTCCTCCCTCACGCTCACTCTCCCCTTTAGTCCTCCCTCACTCTCACTCTCTTCTTTAGTCTCCCCTCATTCTCACTCTCCTCTTTAGTCCTTCCTCACACTCCCCTTTAGTCCTCCCTCACTCTCCCCTTTAGTCCTCCCTTACTCTCACTCTTCTCTTTAGTCCTCCCTCACTATCCTCTTTAGTCCTCCCTCACTCTCCTCTTTAGTCCTCCCTCATTCTCCCCTTTGATCCTCCAGACCCTGTCCCTCCTCCTCCCTCACTTCTCCCCTTTAGTCCTCCAGACCCTGTCCCTCCTCCTCCCTCTCTCCTTTAGTCCTCCCTCACTCTCCCCTTTAGTCCTCCCTCACTCTCCCCTTTAATCCTGCCTCACTCTCACTCTCCTATTTAGTCCTCCCTCACTCTCCCCTTTAGTCCTCCCTCACTTTCACTCTCCCCTTCAGTCCCCCCTCACTCTCACTTTCCCCTTTCATCATCCCTCACTCTCACTCTCCTCTTTAGTCCTCCCTCACTCTTTCTTTTAGTCCTTCCTCCCTTTCACACTCCCCTTTAGCCCTCCCTCACCCTCACTCTCCCCTTTAGTCCTCCAAATCCCGTTCAGTTCAGCATCTCTGTCTGAAACGCGGCTGTGGGCAGAGTTAATGTGTTTATTCCCACTTTAGTGCCACACTTCGGAATATTTTCAATGGAAATGAGCTTCGTGCGGAATATTCCAGGAAAAGGAACAACATTTCCACGGAATCAAACGGAACGAGTCCCTCCTCCAAGTCAAATAAAATCATAAGTTTGTGGATCTCACAGTAAATACACGTTTTCAGCTACATAAAAACATCCAAAATAAAAAAAAAAAACACATACTTTTTAAAATTTTCTGGCTAAAAAGTTACACGGCGGGGCTTTAAATGGAAAATTCTAAATTGTAATTGAATAAATCCCAACTAAAATTTACACAGTACACCTTTAATCGACCAAAACATGAACATTTCAGAAGCCAAAATAGCACATAATTTTGAATAATTGTCTTTTTTTTTTTTTTTTTTACTATTTTTAAACACGGCAGACGCTAACGAGTCACAATTTTACGTCAACGCTGCACATCTGTTAAAAATAAATTAATTAATACGGCTACGGAATCCCCAAGGGACCAAACCGGAGAAGACCACCCCATTCCACACCTTTATTTTCGTCGATTATTTGGCACTATCCGGTTAATTAACGCCTATTTTTCTGATTATGTCATAAGGAGTCGAATTTTTATGACGAAACCGCTCCGCCGTTCAAATGTCCATGCTGCTGCTGCTGCTGCTGCGTTGATTCTGGCGACATCTAGTGGCCACACGGTTCACTCTGACCTTAATAACCCCATTGGAGATTCTGACTATAAATATATCCAATTACACTTCAGAATAAAAGCACTATTTCGGTTTAATTTGTACGAAAAAAATGCGCCGAGGATCAATCTGTGACTATGCAACTTCTGAAATGAAAAGGCTCAAAGCAATAACAAATAATACACATTTATTTTAGCCTATATTCATTTGGTAAAACTGAAATTGACTGAAAACTACGTTAGTTAAGTTAGACTAATTAAATTAAAGCGTATGCGATATAATACGAAGCGTTAAAAATAGCATAGCAAAGTTTTAATGACCCCCTCCCGAAGACCGAGTGACCACGATGAATGGAAAAGAAAATACATGGCCAAATCGTGAATAATTAATGTTTTAAAAATGTGTGTTGTGTATCGTGGTGTCGTGGTTCGTTCATAAAAATGCGCCCGTAGGTACATAGTGAAGTTGTGGCTTATTAAACGGACTTATTTAGACAGAATGATGATGATGCCCGCGGGTCTGCGCAGGGACACTCGAGCTGTTAGCAAAACCAATCAAATGTAGCTTAGCAGTTTATGTGTCATGGCAGGACTCAAGAGGGAAAAGTGACAACCAGGCCCGTTCAATCGCCTGTTTATATATTTATATTATTTATACATAACGCCCCTGGTTCGCTCCTGAGCCGCACCGCGCGCGCAGACACCGGGAGGCTCAAACTTTGCAGCTCTGGATGAAAATGATGAAGACGCGCGGTCCTGGTCCTGGTCCTGGTCCTGGTCCTGGTCCTGGTGCGGTTCGTGTCCGTGTCCGTGCATCGTGGATGGATCTACGGCCGTGGATAAACCCGGTCTGTGGAGCCGCATCCGCTCGGCTCAGCTCCGCTCAGGTCACAACTTGTCACGACTGTTCTGCGACACCACATCCTGACGAAAGCCGCGCACAGGCGCCGGTGGCCGGTGTCCGGGCCGGAGATAAAGCTCCATATTGGGATGAGAGTACTTACGTGAGCCGCAGCCCGGCGCTGGTGTCCGCAGGTGAAGCTGCTCCGGCGGGCGGACGTGCTCCAGAGCAGAGCGGGCAAACTGTTGAGTGATGCTGGGCCCCTCCTCTGCTCTCCTCCTCCTCCTCGGCTCCGGTGCTGCGGGGCGGTGCGGTGCTCCGGTGCGGCTCAGGCTCAGGCGCGTTCCTCCCCGCACGTCCTCAGCTCAGCGCGCGCGCGCACGTACACGCACACGCACGTAAAGGACCAGAGCGCGCACGTCAGCGCGGTCCTAATGCCGCCACGCGCGTGACTGACGTAAGAACAGGTAATGTCCTCGAGCCCCGTGGAGGATCATCACGGGCCTATTACAGTTGTGATTATTACAATAGGCCCAGAGAGCGTTAATAACCCGACACAGCGGCTCCTGTTTGGGCTGGAGCCGAGCCAACTGTGGCTCCGGCTGTTTGTGACAGGCTCAATGGGCCTGTTGTGTTGTTGTTGTTGTTATTGTTGTTGTTGTTGTTGTTGTTGTTCTGCACTAAAATGTGAACAGGTACACGGCAGAAACTGAAGGGTTAAAATTTCAGTGTAAAATATTTCAGTGTTGTTTTTAACACAAAATTGTTATTTTAACTATTTGAAAGTTAAATGGAGGTTTGAGTTGGTGTTATTGGCCAGGATTGATCTGGTTGAAGTTAATTCAACATCTCTGAGTGTTAATTTGGCTCCTCCCACCACTTCAAACTCCCACCAGAGAAGACCAGTTTGAACCAGTTTTGTTCATAATTTCATGTTAAATTAACGAAAATAAAGTGTAAAAATAAAACACCTCTGTGGGAACTTTGGTCCTGTGTTACTTAATTAACATTTCCAAAAACAGAATAGATTGGACTCATATAAACCCTGAGAAAATGTTAAAACTGATTCTGTGAGAGTCAATTTTAACCCTCCACTTTTTCTGTGTAAAAAGTACTGTTCATTTTTGTCATGTTTTTGACTGTGATGATGTGACGCTCTCAGATCTCCTCATGGATGACGCTGTAGTCTGCCGTAAAATATCCAAAAAGTAAATCCACAAATTCTGAACTTGCATTTTATGTATTTGACTACAACACAATTTTAACAGTAATAATTTTAGCTGCCCTCTCATTTGTACTAAATATTATTGGCCAATAAAATGTTGTGACGTCCTCTGAAACCCTGCAACAGAGATATGATGAACTAAAATACTAATAACCCATAACTGACCTCTGACCTTTATAGTTTGTGGATTTTTCTTTCGATTGTTCTTATAATACATTAATACCCGCCAATCAATCAATAAGTAAACACAAATCCACCACTCCATGCATGTTTATGTGTTGTCGTTTCTTGTTGTTTCCTTCTTGCACTCCTTTTTATGTTTGTGTTTGTTTTAAATGTCCTTTCCATCTAAAACACAAAGACAAAATTATGAAAACACAAAAGACACAAGACAATTTATGAACCAAATGGCAAACAAGATATATTCTGGAAAACATGGACACCTGTACACATATACTTAAATATGTAATTTATTTATTTTATTTTATTTTTAATGTATTTGTTATGTGTGTGTGTGTTCATGTGTATGTATGTATATGTATGTAATTTGTATATATTTCGTTTGCATCATTATTGATGTAATTATTGTTACTTTATTTTTATTATTATTTTTTGGTCAATATTACTATTACTATTATATTTTTATTTTATTATTTTTTTTATTATTACTTTTTTTTATGTTTATTTTTATTTTTTTTCTGAATATTATTTATTTATATTTTTTTTCAGTGTCTGTTAAGGGTGGGTGTGGGGAGGGCGAATCGGGGGTTGGGAATGGGGAGGAGGGGGTTTAAATGTGGCATTTGTATATTTGTACATCTTGTGGCATTGTGGTGTGGCTCTAAGACCACAATATAGGAAAAAAATAAATCCAAAATAAAATATATATGACAAAAAAAGACACAAAGACAAAATGCCTTTTCTTTCTCTCTCTACCTGAGTGTGTGTGTTCTGTCTGTGTGCTCTAGTGTGTGTTATTTGTCATTGTGCACTTTGTGGTTATGATTGTTAGTGTTTGTTTGTGTTCTCATTGCCTTCTAATTGAACTGGTTTGTACAATTGCTATTTTTGATCATGTTTACCATCTGTCCAGGGACTACAGATGAAAAATATTCAATGTACATTTACAGAGATGTTGATAAATGTGTAATTTTTTTAAAAACAATTTCAAAATAACAGCATTGTCAGGATAAAATATTTAAATAAAGACAAAAAACGAAGTAAAACACACACACACAAAACAAAAAAAACAACAACTACCAGGTCACGTACTCACAATAAACATGTTCCAGATTGAAAAGAGAGAGAGTGAACCCACTTTTTTTTTTTTTTTAAGTCTTCACAAAATATAAAATGTCTCTAATCCAGGTGTACGGAAGCCGAGAGGGGTCGCAACAAACGCAAACGCCGCAACAAATACAAACGCGACAACACAACAAAAAGCCACAACACACCAAAAAAAAAAAGCCACAATGGAAATGACCGCGGGACTCTATTTTAATGCAAACGCCGCAACAAATACAAACGTCACAACACAAACGCAAATGCCGTAACACATTAAAAAGCCACAACACATAAATAAAAGCCACAACAAGCCAAAAAAGCCACAACACACAAAAAAGCCACAATGGAAATGACCGTGGTACTCTATTTTAATGCAAATGCCGCAACAAATACAAACACCACAACACAAACGCAAATGCCGCAACACATTAAAAAGCCACAACACATCAATAAAAGCCACAACAAGCCAAAAAAGCCAAACAAAAAGCCATAAAAGCCACAACACACCAAAAAAAGCGAAATGACCGCGGGACTCTATTTTAATGCAAATGCCGCAACAAATACAAACACCACAACACAAACGCAAATGCCGCAACACATTAAAAAGCCACAACACATTAAAAAGCCACAACACATTAAAAAGCGAAACGGAAATGACCGCGGGACTCTATTTTAATGCAAACGCCGCAACAGATACAAACGCCGCAACACAAACGCAAATGCCGTAACACATTATAAAGCTACAACACGTCAATAAAAGCCACAACAAGCCAAAAAAGCCACAACACATCAAAAAAGCCACAACAAACCAAAAAAGCTACAACACACAACAAAAAAAAAAGCACAAACACCAAAAAAGCAGAACGGAAATGACCGCGGGACTCTATTTTAATGCAAATGCTACAACAAATACAAACACCACAACACAAACGCAAATGACACAACATATTAAAAAGCCACAACACATTAAAAAGCCTCAACGGAAATGACCGCAGGACTCTATTTTAATGCAAACGCCGCAACAGATACAAATGCCGCAACACAAACGCAAATGCCGTAACACATTAAAAAGCTACAACACATCAATAAAAACCACAACAAGCCAAAAAAAAGCCACAACACACCAAAAAAAGCCATAACAAACCAAAAAAGCCACAACGCAAATGACCGCAGGACTCTATTTTCCGACGGACCGATCAAGCGGCAAGTGAAGAAGAAGAACTACAACGTGAAACGAACAATGATAAAACAATGAATTAGTTTTACTTACGTTTCCAACTTCTCCGTTCCTTTACTTTTCACGTTGTAGTTCTTCTTCTTCACTTGCCGCTTGATCGGTCCGTCGGAAAATAGAGTCCCGCGGTCACTTCCGTTGTAGCTTTTTGATGTGTTGTGGCTTTTTAAAGTGTTGTGGCTTTTTAATGTGTTCCGGCATTTACGTTCGTGTTGTGGCGTTTGTATTTGTTGCGGAGTTTGCATTAAAATAGAGTCCCGCAGTCATTTTCGTTGTGGCTTTTTTTGGTGTGTTGTGGCTTTTTTTGGTGTGTTGTGGCTTTTTGTTGTGTTGTCGCATTTGTATTTGTTGCGGCGTTTGTTGTGACTCCTCTCGGCTTCCGTACAGGTGTGGACTGGCTCACCAAACAGAGCAGGAATTACACAAAGTCCAATTTTAGCAGAGACGATTTGTGACGTTATATTAAAAACATCATTCCAGAAGTTTAACAGAGATGGACATGACCACAACAGATGAACCTGAACATGAAGTTGCTGGAAATTGGAGGAATCTGTCACAGTTTGGATCAATATTATCATAAAACTTTGCAAACCTAACCTTAGTAAAATGATAAAGTGTGAACTCTTTTTAAACATTTGCTCCCAGACGTTGTCAGAAATGTCTATGGTCAGATCTCCAAGGATTTTTAGATATTTTGAAGTGAGGCTGATTTCAATGAGTTAATAAGATTGTGTAGCGTTGCAATCACACCTCAGTAATGTATAAAATAAATACATTTTCTAAACATAGTCACTCTATGCAGCCCTATACTTTAAAATGAGGCTGTGTACTTGCCTAAATGGCCCATATTACGCTATTTTCTGATCTGTTATATAAAAAAGTACTCGCCTACTGTCGAGTGAACGAATCCTCGACCTGTAGCTCACGTCATGTGGTGATACAGGAAGTGCTCCATTGTGCTTCCACACCTTCACTACAATCATTTGGATGATTTCCGCCCTGGAATTGTCTCTCTCTAAAGCAGGAGTGTCAATCTCAAATTCACAGAGGCCAAAATTAAAAACTGGGACTAAGTCGTGGGCCAAACTATAATATTTATTGGAAAATTTCAACAATATCTGCATGTTTTCTGTAATGTTAAAACTTTTAACTTATTAAAATAAATGTTTAATAATAGTTTTGCATAAAAACATTGAATCCAGAAGAAGCAAAATATAAAATAATAACAAAATTTTAAATAAATTATGTCTCTCTAGTCTATCTGTATCCGGTGGGCAGCTCTAATACAGATTTGATATGATCTCACGGGCCTGAGTTTATTATGTTTGCTCTAAAGAAAAGGTAAAAGGAGATGTTCATTTGAAAACTTCATGACTTCTAGGGCTGGGCATCACTGAAAAGTGCTGATATGATACATATCTCGATACACAGGCCACGATACGATATGTTTTTCGATACAGATATATTTCAAATCGATTCGATATAGTTCTGTAATAAATAAAATTCTAAATTATGGCTGAGATACTAAAAGTCTTTATTAATCCACTAAGGATTTCTTTTTTCTTTACTGTATTGATTCCAGATAGTTTGTGTT